TGCAGAATGAACTTGAAGGCCACGGATAAAGGTAGATTGGTGGAACGGTGCAGGATCAAGTCCAGTCTTGGAGAATTACCCTGACAATCTGTGCCATGCTCAGTTGTTCGATGAAGTTGCGTTTGCTGTTTCAGAAAATGCAATGTAAGTTGCTTTTGAAGATTGGACCTATAGAGACATTTTCACACACTTTTATGTGAAAGACACAAGATTTTAAAATGCAATGAATTCCATTTAAGGTGGTAATAATATGTAATAGACTGTCTTTCCTTAGTTCAAGTCGAGAAAGCATGCTCTTCACGGCCTTTTTTTAAAAATATATTCTGCAGAGAAAAGATGATGTGTCTTTTTTGAGGAGGTCCCCTAAACGGGTAACACCTGATTTCTACTAGTTAACTTCTGTCTGTTGTAACGCCTGCATAATATAGTGACAGGAGTATCAGTCAGCATGTCCACACGCAAGAAAGAACATGTCAGACCCCTGAAGATTGATAATCTTTTCTTTTCACCACTTTAAAGGCTGTGAATTTTAGATCTGCTTTAAAAATTGCCAGTTTTTAAATGGTTTTTATTGAATATAAACATAGAGAAAAGAAACACGTGAAATGTTTTATTCCTTGTGCAACAAGGAGTAACAGCTCTGGCCTGATAATGAGAAGGTCAGCGGTTTGCATCCACCAGATGCTTGTATGGAGAAAGATGGGGCAGCCTGCTTCTGTAAACATTTACAGCTTTGGAAAGAGAATTTCTACTCTGTCCTAAGTTATTGTTGTTTCTGTCATTGTGTAACATTCACAAGTAACCCATAGCTGACCCTTTGGCGCGTTTTTAGAGACAGTAAATCACACAGGAGGAGATTACCCATCTCTTTCCTGCAGAGCAGGTGGTGGATGCAAACCTTGTGCCTTTGGGATGATAGCACTGCCCGTTATCACTAAGCCACCAGAGCTCTGTACTCTGTCCTATATGGTTGTTTCATAATCAGAATTAGCTTGATGGGGACAATTCTTTTTTTGGCAGAAAATTGAGGGATGAGTGAATTGAAGAGGATGCTAGGGAGCCTGAGCTGGGGGTGAGGGGAGGGAAGTAGTTGTTACTATCCCGCCCCCCAAAAGGAGGGAATGTACAGACAAGAGAGATGGGATGTTGCATTAGGAAACTTCCAGAAATTCAGGATGGCGTCTCCTGCTGTAAACTCTGGGCAGTAGGGCAAGAAGGTGGTGGAGAAGCACATCATAGAATTTGTGTAGTTTATGTTCAATCTCCTCAGACCAAGTACTCAGAGGAAAGCGAGCTGCTTTCCCTGCCAGCTCCACTTTGCCCAGTGCTGTTTCTTAGAGCTGCTGTAACAGAAGTACCACAGGGATGGCTTTAACGGACAGACGCTTATTTTCTCACTGTTTAGGAGGCTGTGAGGCAGAATTCAGAGCGCTGGCTCTAGGGAGGGCAGCTCTGACGGCTTTGTGGTAAAGAGTTGTGCTGATATCGCCAAAGTACACAGTTCAGATCCACCAGCTGTCCCCAAAGAGAAAGATGGGCATTCTCCTCCTGTGTGTTGTCTCTGAAAACCCACTGGAGGGTCAGCTATGTAGCGGTTCCAACCTGACAATATATACATACCACCATCCACAGGCTCCAGGGGAAGGAATCTGGTGGTGTGGCCGCTATAGTGTTGTGCTGCTGACCGGAATGCTACTCGCCTCTGGCTGTTTGCTCCTTGGGAGAAAGAAGAACAGTCTCCTCACTTTATTTGAGTACTGAAAGCTGTGTTAAATGTATTGTCCTGGTGATCACTGAAATGGATTGTCTTTTCTAAGAAGAAATGAAATGTTTGGGTATCCACAAAAGGGGGGGTGGGTATTTACAGCCTTGGTAACCTGATGACTGTTTGCAGGAGGAGGAACCAAATTCAACAACGGTATATGGTGGTGGCTGAGCTCTAGGAGAAGGCCCTGCTCGCTCTGTTGGCTCTGGGGGAAAATCCTCATTCCAGCATTTTCTGCTACACTAGGGAGGATAGAAGGAGAATTGATGCCTTTGAGCTGTGGTGCTGGAGAAGACTGCTAAGAAAATGAACAGGTTCATCCTGGAGAGGTTTAAACCAGGCTGCTCCTTGGAGGCAAGGATTCTGAGGCTTTGTCTGACATACTCTGGACATGCTTGGAGAAGGACATCATGCTTGGGAGGGTGGAGGGACCACGCGGGAGGGGAAGACCCTCTATGAGGTGGATTGATTCAGTGACTGGGGTAATGGGGGCAGGTGTGTTGGAGACGGTGCGATTGACACAGGACAGAGCAGGGTTTAGGGCTGTTGTACATAGGGTCGCTATGAGTCGCAACACCACATAACAACAACTACATTCCATGGTGATTTTCACTTAGAACTCACCCACCTGTGATTTAACCCCATTAACATAACAAAGAAAGCCCTATTCCCAAATGGGATCCTATCTGGGGGTGTAAAACCTAAACCAAAGCCTTTGCTGCCCAGGCTGTTCCCCCTTACAGAGTAGTAGATCCCCCTAGAGGCTCTCTTACGGCATAATCTTTTCAGAAGCCGACTGCCTAATCCTCCCCCACAGGACAGCTAATTGCTTTGAATCAGAGACACTGAGTACCTTCACCTCTGTGCACCCAGGGTTGGGATTTTCAGCACCTTTTGGGGTTGGGATACATTCAACCCATAGCACCCTTTTTCTGAAGCCAGTATTCAGCCACAATCATCGTCTGGTTTTTGTTAGCTCCCAGGGTCTTGTTCCTTGCTGTGTTTCCAGTAGTTTCTGACTGCAGCTGGCCTGTGGATCTGAGTAGAACCACCCCGTAGGGTTTGCATGGCTGTAGACTTTTACATTCACAGATGGCGCCATCTTTCTTCCTTGGAGCAGTTGTTTGGCTCGAACTGCTGACCTTTTAGTTAATCCACAGTATCATCAAGACTAAAGAATCCCATGTACTTTCCTATGTGGATAGCAAATAACAAATTAAAAACCACAGACAACCTTTAAAGACCATCTAACATTCATTGCCTATTGGTGATAAAAAAAAGGGGGGGATAAATATTTAATGCTATTAAGTTCGTTCTTCTTTGTGAACTCCTTGGCTTAGCCCTGTGTGCAGATAATCCTGGTACTTTTATCACAGAAGAGGTACAACAAAGACAGACGTCAGTAACTACCAAGTCACATGTATGAGTTTACAAAATTTGCTGGTGATTCTTATTTCACTTTTAGTGGTAGAAGATGAAATTACATGGAAGGGTTCATATGCCAGTGTGATATTTTTAGAAAGGGGTCATAGAATCTATTATTAAATTATTTTTCTTCTTTTCTATCTTAACTAATTAATGCAAAAGTCACTTTTTTGCCATAAATAAAATCCTCATGTGTGACTCGGAAGAAAGATTGGCAGTCTGCTTTTTTTTTAAAAAAAAAATCTGTCTTTAGAAAACTCTAAGGTTCAAATCTGTTGTGACATCCATGGGTCTCCATGAGTCAGCATTGAATCAACTCAACAGTAGCTGGTTCATTTATGCCTTGGCTTAAAACAAAAAAATGTAGCTACTAAGACATGAAATGGCATAGAAATAAGGTGGTTTTTTAGAAGTAAGTTATTAAAGAAAAATGTATGGCAACAACAAATGCCCGCTTGGTGGTTTACTTTTATCAGCCAGCCCCTTTGACTGATGTCTTCTTTCTTTTGGTTTGTAGGGTGGATCTATGACATCACACAGAAATATGACTTTTCCTTCTACATATGCGGTTTGCTTTACACGGTAGGACTTCTCTTTCTACTCATCCAGCTGTGTGTTCGGATTATAGCACAATCCAGGAAGAAGTACGTGGAAGGTGCCTGTGTGTAGAAGCATGTAATGTTCCGGGTCGGATTGCGTTGGGATTCTGCGGTCTACCTTCCATGGTCACTGGTGGAAATGTCATGGTCACTGCTCCACATCAGAGGCAGCACAGCCTTTCCGTTTGAGGGGAGCAAGACTGGAAGACACTCAGAGATGAGACTGTTCTTAAAAAATAGACATTTAATTTGTAGAAACTGCCCTTACAGGAACTATATCTTCTCTCCCACCGGCCACTGGGACTAGGGTTTTTAATACGGCTTTTAAAACTAAGATTGGGGTGGAAAGCTTTCAACCCAACCACTTTGTAAAGTGGAAGTGAAGTATATCTGTGTGGCTCTGGAGACAAAAACTTCCTTAACAGCCTTGCTAGTTTCTTGGGACTTGAAAGACGACAGCCAAATGCCCTGGAAGGCAAGCATGGACAGACTGCGTCTCTGGGACTTTGGCTGTGTTATCAGGTGGAACCAGTTCCTGAAAAGACATCAGTCTTGGTGAAGTGCATGGAGAAGAGGAAGTCCTCAATGCAGTGGATGGGCAGAGGGCATGCAGGTGCAGCAGGGACTGTGCCGGACACACAGGACTGAGCAGGGCTTCGCTGTGCTGGGCGGGGGGTGGCTATGAGCTGAAACCAACTCAACAGCACACAACAACAACTTGCTTCTGGAAAGCCCACAGATTGGTGAGTTTTAAGCACAAGAATATGACTAGCTTTCTGAAGTTAGTTGTTAGAGGGAGCTATGGATCTAGTCAGTGTGATATAAAAAACAAAACAAACCAAAAAAACCCACTGCCTTTGAGTCAGTTCCAGTTTGTGGTGACCCCCTCCACCCATCAAGTTTCTGAGGCTCTGAATCTTTATGGGAGGAGACTTCTCTTTCCTACTCAGGGCAGCTGGTGGATTTGAACTGCTGACCTTTTGACTGGCAATCCAATACACAACACACTAGGCCCCAAGGCTTCAAAGGTGAGACTTCCTTGTGTAATTCGAGAACTTCCATTTACATTTTTATGGGAGAATTCTACAGGGAGGGAATGCCATTTCTAAATGTTCACCTATAAAAAAGCCATTTGCCATTCATCCTAAGTCAGTATTATCCAATTAGAGATGACATCTTGAGACAAAACTTTAACCGCTAAGTAATGAGTTCCTTCATCAAAGTCGCATTTGTACACGGTCAGTGAAACAAGGGCTACAATCCAAACATTTTTCCTCACCTCACGTGTCTCTAGCTTAGAATGCAAGCATGATTTGGGGACCTCTGAACTTTTTTTCCTGATGTTTCTCCTGCCCAATAAATAAAATAGAGACCAGTTTTCTGGCTGACATAGAAAGTTGGTGGCTAAGTCATATGTAAGTCTTGCTACCAATGCACGTTGCATCCTATTATTAGACAATCAAAGTGGGAGAATAATAGAATTCCCTTGGTACAGGCTGGAGCAGCACTAACAAAAGACTTCTTGTAATGACTACTGGGAGTATGGTGGGTTACATATTGGGCTGCCAGCCCAAAAGGTTGGTGGTTCAAATACACCAACTGCTCTAAGGCAGAAAGAGGGGGCGACTTCCTCCTGTTAAAGATTTAGAATCTTAGAAACTCAAAGGCAGGTCGCCATGAGTCAGTGGACTTGATGTACGTTTTTATTTCAGTGTTCTTATTACGCAGAGTTTATTGACCTGAGCTGTTTCCAGTTTTTAAAAACAGTTCTCTTGATGGGGTTCATACAGAAGATAGCTACAATCCACGGCACTCACCAACACGCGTCCTCTGTCTGAGATGTCTATTTTTCTAAGCCAAACGTTTTTCAGCTTGCAGAATGTTCTTCCCAGAATGATTCCAAAATTTCTGGCTGCCTTACTTAATTCACACATACTTCAGAACTATTTAAATTTATACTTGCAATTTTCTCAGCGCCAAAACACCCTTGAATATCATTGCCAGGTTCCGTGGGTCAAATTTATCTGAAGGGAATACAGCCCAGTCCCGGGTGTCCATGCTAATGCGAGGCAGGAACACTACGTGAAGTCCTGGAACTGCAGAGTTGGAGCCAACAGTTTCAGTGTTTGGCTCCACCAAGAGTTCTTCAGAGCAGGTGATTCAGCGGACAGCTAGCCTAGCTTATCACCTCCGTTCTCTCCTCCTCCGCTGTCCAACAGGAGAGGTTGTGTGACCACCAAAAAAACAATGATAAAAGGCAGCTAATGAGACACAGAAACAAAGGCATGGCTAATACACACACTCAGTATACCTCCAAGGATTAGAGATTTGCCTGTAGATTAATCTAGAAAACAGAGCATGCCTACTCCGTCTGCATAATGACCTGCTTGTCTGCTGTTGAAGACTCCGGCTTTCTATTTCCATGAAGGGAATTGTAAGTGCTGAGGCATTGCACATATAAATACACAGCTCTATTTATTTGCTATAGAATTCAGGTGATCAGATTGGAAACCGTGCTGTGTGTTCTAGTATCTGACTCCATGGCCTCCACTTTCAGACGACACCAAAATTCCCGAGAGAATGTTCACTCTTTTTTGGATGGTGCTGTAGCCAGTGCGTGTTGCTTCTCACCCAGCTGGCTGTGCATCAGAAATAGGAACTTTCTCATCCACTTGCCTGGCTTTCATCACATCCAGGTTCGACTTAATCATGTTCAGTTCATGGGGCGGTTTGTCAACTGACTGTATTTATGGAGATGGTGACTTCTGTCAAATCGGTAGACCTGAGGTAGATAGGAAAGAGCTGCCAGCAGTATTTGTGGTGACAACAGATAATAGAGAGAAGGCTTTAGTGAATTACAACAAGTAGGTTCTTATATCCCGTGTGGTTGTTTACAGTGCTTTGAAGATGTTATAAAGGCGTTGGTTGAATATTTATAGCATTATGTGCTTCATTTCCCCTTCATATGCCCAAATGATTTTTACTGACTGACATACAATTAAATAAATTTTGTTCTCTTTAAAATTGTTTTGTGAGTTTTTGTACAACCGTTGGTTTTCTCAGCCTTAAGGGGACACTCCTAAAAAGCAGCAGATGTTTACCTGTTTGGCTTCTTCTTTAAACCTGAGTGGACAGTCAGTGGGAGAGAGTCACTAAGGGTGATGGTCAAGAGTGCAAATCTGAAAACCAAACGTACTTTCAGTCAAGTTGATTCCAGCTCAGTGACCATACAGGGCAGAGCAGAACTTGCTCATAAAGTTTCCAAGACTGTCATTATTTCCTCCCATGTTTTTGTTGTTGTCGATTGCCTTCAAGTAGAGCACGATTCATAGTGACCCTATGAACAAAAGGCCTGTGCCCCCTCTACAACGATCAGCATTTATCCAAGTTCATAGAGTTTCTGGAGGCAAGTTATTTCAGAAGTGGATGCCACGCCTGCTTTCAATTTCCCCCCATAGTCTTATTTAATTTTGTTGTTGTTAAGAGTATGCACAACAAAATATATTTTAGCAATTCAACACTCTCTCCATGTATGATTTAATGATATTAATTATATTCTTTAATGTGCAACCATTCTTATGCTTCTTTCTGAGTTCTTTCTTATTGATGTAAATTCATTGACCCCTGAAAGTTCTTACCTAATCTCTCAAGTTGCTGTTTTCAATTTGATTCTATACAGATCTTAAAAGAGCATAATACTCAAGATAGGGATTTCTCTTTTTTTTTTTTTAACTAGTCTTAAGCTGCTGTTTGGTTTAAAATTGTGTTAAGAGTAAGGGGAGCTCTGGTGGCCTAGTGGCAAGGAGCTGCAACTACAATCCCAGAGGCGCACGGTTCGAATCCACCAGATGCTGTGCCGGGGAAGGAGGGACAATCTCCTCCTGTACCAGTCAGATCTGATTTGACGGCACACTCACACAAAAATAATAAAATAAAATTAAAATTGTGTTAGAGTTTATTTTGGGTTTAAGGTTTAAAGAGTATTTTGTACAGTGACTTCAGGGGTTCCTCTACCTTTTACAGCTCCAGAAACTCTACAGTCTCTGAGAATTTTTAATTCTGTTCTACATTGCCCCCTCTTGATCTGGATTCCTCAATAGAATCTTTGCTCAAAATGCTCAGTACTGGTAGTTATTTCCATCCAGTTCTTCTGGTCTCATGCCAAAGCCGTTAATTTTTACAGAAGACTATCTCCAGGTCTTCCGTGGAATGACTAACTGGTTCAAACTACCAAACTTTTGATTAGCTGCTAAGTGTTTAACTGCTGTGCCAGCAGGGCGCCTTCTTTTTTAAGAAGTGCAGAGTTCCACTATTAAATTTCAACTGCATACGCCTTTTATTATAGGGAGTTCAGGTGGCCAAGTGGCAAGAAGCTGCACTGCAATCCCGAAGACAGGAGGAGGATGGGCAGTCGCCTCCTGTGCGATTAACTGACTCTGAAAACCCAGCGGAGGGTCAGCTATCGGTTAGTTCCAACTCTGTGGTACACAACACAACACCTTTTAATCTAACATTTGCACTTTTTTGTGCTACGTACATACAAAGACGAGTGAATGAGGGTGCCCCCCTGTCCCCAGTTATTGTTACTAAAAAAAGCAACTGTTCAAATGCCTATCAATAAACTGAAAAGAATTCCTTGCCATCAGTTAGAGCCAACTCATAGGTGACCCCCAGCGGTTCCCAAGGCCGTATGTCCCATGGAAGAAGACTGTTCATCTTTCTTCTCTGGAGCTGCTGGTGGAGTTTAACCACCCAAGAAGCACTGCCTTTGGGTTACCATGGAAACTTCCTGTGGACTGCGCTGCCAGAGCTCTCTGTCAATCAAGGCTTGTACAAAAGTATAATCATGCGTTCAATGGAATAAAGTATGAAGCAATCTATACCTGTTGTTGTTATGTGCCATCGAGTCGTTTCCGACTCATAGCGACCCTATGCACAACAGCTCTAAACCCTGCTCTATCCTGCGCCAACCGCACCGCCTCTGACACACCCATCCCGATTACCCCAGTCACCGAATCAATCCATCTCATAGAGGGTCTTCCCCTCCTGCGCTGTCCCTCCACCCTCCCA